ACGTATTAATTAATATTGTAAACAGTGTAATAGAACTTAGAAGTGAATACATTTAAATATTTTAACACACTTATTATTCTCGTATTAATAACGTTTATCTTTATGACAATATCATATTTATTATACAACACTATCCTACTTGTACTCGTGAACCAAGTGTCTCAATGTAATTATGCATAAGAAAATAATTGAAATAATAGATCGCTCAATTTATTATTAACAGTAAAAAAACATTTCTAAACTACCATCTCTAACCGTATATGATATATAATAGAAATAAAAGATGTATAGGTCTTTATGACTTTACCTATGGCAATATCAAATATCCTTTATAATGGTTCATTACCAGCACAGTGAACTACAAATATTATTCAGTTATATATTAATCAATTAATAATAGGTAATATATTAATTCAGTTAGTGGCATACTAATGTACTAACGTTGGGTGGTAGAGAAAACCACCAGTGTCCACTACCACTCCGAAATTCTATAATAGTGATTTTTGGCAAACATATGTTCTGAAATGTCATTTTTTGGTCAGTTCAAGTCGCTAAATATTTAGCTTTAATACCTTTATCTACCACCCATAAAAAAAATGTAAGTCTTATGCAGTAATCTATTGGTTTTACTGATTACTGGTTAATATTATAAATAAGTAGGTGGTAATAACTAATAACTAATAAGTATGATAGCAAGACTGTACCTACTTAAAACCAATATGATATTATTGTTAGACGATTATATACTTATTTACACATTCTACAGTATTCGCATAACCTTCTTAAAAAACAAAAATTCTATTTTTTTTTTGCAAAAGTACGATAATCATTTTTGTTTATATCTCTATTGGCTATAATGCTATACTATAACTCATATTATATTATAAAAGATATACCTACGTAACAAACGCCTACATTTAATTTACCTATACTGCGAATGCCGTTTACCAATTGTTCAAACAAATAGAAAAGAAAAAAACAATTATAATTTATAAATAGGTACTATACATAATTGTATATATTATTATATATATATATATATATATATAAAATAATATAATATACGCTCAAGTATATTATTTATGTACCTAATAATTTCAATTCAAGGGCATCGTTTGTTCTAAATTCAACTGCGATTGTTTTTGCAGGCGATTAAAAAGCATAATATACACATAAATATTATACATAGGTACCTATAGATACTTATCAAAACGGTAGGTACCTATTTTTTCAACGTCTGCTGTCCACAAATTGTACTCACATAAGTATTTATACTATTATAAGTGTAGGTACTTACTTAGATAGGATGAACATTTAGTGTTGTTCGTGCAGTTGTGTGAAAATACTGAAAATTATTAGTGCCCTTGAGGCCATGAATGTTTGATACTTCGAAAAATGTGCAGTGGCCAGTGACGCACAGTGTCGAAGATGGGTCCGAGCGGGCCATGACCCCTCTTGAAAACTTACGGCCTGCTTGTTGGCACGCGCTGGAATTTTAATTCAACTCAAAAGTTTTAATTTGAGTTTTCAAATATTATTACAAAAATAGTTTAAAAAAATATAATGCAGTGTCGGAGTCTAGTTTTTCAATACCATATACACACATTGTCACACAGGTTGAAGACACACGACTGTAGGATATTTAAGTTTTGTATTGTGTGCCGTTTACTTAAATGGTTTAGATCGGAATATTATCATAGTATAAATTTAATTTAAAATCATTCTAAAAAATATGATTATTTATTATATAGCCATGCATATAGCTATAACATGTAGCGATTATTATAACAGAAAATCTACGTTTAACTTAATTTTTAGCTTCAATATTAAAGTAAAACAACCTATTATAAAACTTAATGGTAAGAACTTAATTTGTATTTATATTTAGGTTATTTATGATAATTTTATTTTAAAGCGAATTATGGACATTTTTAAACTGCACTATACAATATGACAACGTCAAATTCGATAAAAAATTAAATTATCGCAAAAATTCTAACAAACACAAAATATAACATTTTTACAATTTAGTTTCATAAAGTTATACATGAACTGCTGTACGACGAAGACAATAAACGCTGATAAATATTTTTTTATTACAAAGGTACTGTGTTAACTATTAATTTATTAAGGATCCAAGGTTGGGGACAGTTCAAACCATGGACGCCATTATCATTTCCCTATCTGCCCATTTGTATCTTTACCGTGTATCTGTTCTTGCTTTAATGTAATTTGTTGGTCACCTTTTTATCCGCTTCGGAAAAAGGACCTGGCGTTGATACTGTAGATATAAGTACCTAATATAAATCATAACTTATAATACATAACCATGTACAATATAATTATATATTTTGTTACAATAGAAAATCAAATAGTGTTATTAGTACGATAACGACCAGCGAATATTGTATTTGAATTATTATATATCTAATTGTACACCCAACTCAATAATCTAATGCTTAAATATTTTACTACAAGTACCTAATGTCAAGTAGGTAATATATGCAGCAGCAGCACTGAGTAAATTGGGATCTGAGTGTCATTTTTAATGAAGGAAGCAAAGATCCCAATTTATTTTATTTTTAACATTATAAACAAACTTTGAGGGCGATACATTTTTGATAATATCAAATGAAAATATAGTATCCAAGTGTTTTTTTTTAAATATACCTAGGTATATTATATTAAATTATATTTACATTCATAGTTTTATATACTACAATTAATTCTGTATATTGTTTAAATTTTAAAGATTTTTTTTACAAATCATATAATTTAAAGAAGCTATTTATAAAATGTATAAATGTTCAATGATATATTTAAGCATAAGAAGCATAGTGCATGACTGATCAGCAGTACTTTAAGTACCATGAGGAGGCTAGATTCTTAACAAAAAAAAAAAAAAATTAAAAATTAAATAAATACTCCAGAAATTTGAATATTATTAATTAATAACTACTAATATATACTGATTAAAAAAATATCTATCATAATAATATGCTTATTATCTTTATTATCTTACAAATAACAGTTTGTGAAAATCTCAGAGTAAAATTTTTAACATTAATCAATTCAAATACATATGTAATGTACTAAACATATTTATGATTTTTTTTTTTTTTAATAAGTGTTAAAAAATTATCCAAAATGTCACTAAATGTGTTAACTCGAAATATTACAAATTTGGTTAATATTGAGGTTTCTAGTAAATGACATTCCTAGTCTAATAGATAGTTACACCACTGATAGGTACCTTCCAAAATGTCAGGTACTCTGTGTCCCCATATAAGTACCATTCAAAATCACTGCTTGTTGTGCCACTGAAAATACATCAAAGGTATAAGTATATAACATAGCACTATATTAGAGATGGTAAACTTATGACATCGGTCACTCTGTACGCTCTTTTAATGATATGCTCAATTATAAAAACAAAGATCATCAAATTAGTTGACACAAAGTGAAAATAAAATCAAACCAAAATTTATTTAAAACATAAATACAGAATGGTTTATTATTGCGCTATACATATCTCTAAATGAAGAATAGCTAAATTGTAATGTAAGATTTATAAATATATTGTCATAGCGATATTTACCTTGATCATCCAAATGTTCATCCTCATTGTTACATTAAGTATGTATAGCAGTAAAAAATATAAAGAGGTGATGTAGGATAGAGTAGATTAATTCTTAACTGAAACTTCTTAGTATACCAGCATTTATTTTATATTTTTTTGTAAGAAGTCATAAAAATATAAAATGCATTTTTAGAAAAAAGTTTATAAATATATTAAAATTTAGTTTACATTCATATAAAAAATGTAGTTATTTTGATATAAAACATATTCAACACATTAAAATAAATGTACTATAAAATATAAGTGCAATTAAAATTATTAAAAAAAAAATATATGTTTATTTTTAAAACTAAAATCAATCAAATATAAAATATAAAATAGATATAACAATGTTTTATTGTGAAAAAATACAGTTTAATTATTGTTCAGCTTAAAAAATATAAAAATATACGTTTTTATTTTGTTTATTAATAAAAATGTTTTTCCATACCCTTAAAATACATTATTTTAAAGATATTTGTAAAATATTTAAATTACAAAACATTAAAGCAAAAGCTAATTTGAAATACTAGTATGAGCAAATTGTTTATAATTTTATAGTTTAAACTATATTATAAAGTAATTTTATGTAACTGAATGATAACAAGTTAAATCTATCATTTATATAAAAAATAAATAATTTAAAATTATTAAATGAAATAAGCAATGTTTAAATAAACTTCTTCTAGCAAAAATAATATGGAATGTATTTTTATACTTTACAATATGATTAATAATTATCTAATTTTACTTAAATATAAAGTAAGATTAAGTACACACCACTAATGCAATTAGAAATTCTTTGTAAATTTAGGATAAAACTTAAAAATAAAATGGTATCATAAATGCATACAAACAATGATTAAGAGGTAGATTAATATAAGGGAATAAAATATACATAGTTATATTATTCAATGTTAAAATAATAAAATGTATTTGTCAGTAAATTATTTTTTGTAAGATTCTTGTTCAATAAATTAATCCAAAGATAAAAAAAAAAAAAAATTAAAAAACTCATGACTTAAGTTAATTAAGTTCTCTAATAATATATAATCAATATAAAAAATCAATACTATCAAAAAGTAGTTTTAGTAATGTATATTGCAAAAAGCAAACTAATGATAATTTAATCACAGTAACTTTTATATTTTAAGATAGGCATTTAAATAATTTATTCATTAATAAAATATATTTTAAGTACATTTCTAAATAATACTTAGTTCAAGAGGGTACCATTATAGAATAATTTTAGATTATCTGATAATCAAAAACTACTTGATTGAGATTCTAACTGCACAATTGTTTTGAACCAGTTTAAAATTGAATTACTATTATACAAATTAAAATTTGTAACCATACGCTAAATATGTTTTAATGGAGTATATGACAAAAATATATTTTATATAAGAATTTTATTAATGAATAATATATATTAATTCTTTTTTTCAAATTTTACTAATCTGGTTAACATAGATGTAATGCAAGGAATTTGTTTCTGCTGATGCATTTGAACAGTACCAGGGACATTAGATTCATAGTCAATGGCTACTTGGCGATTCACAAATGTCAGTATGGTTAAAAGGTCTAGTTGATAACCATATCTGTCAAAAGCATCACAAAGGGCTTGCATAAACCAAGAGCCTTTTTGAGTATTGCGCCAAGAATAGAAACCTAAAAAAAAAAATACACAATTAAATAGTAAATTACATGATAAAATTTAAAAATAAATAATTATTCATTATATAGCAAAAAAATATTAATCAATCTTTGTATAAATAAAATACAAAACATCTTAAACAAAAATTAGATATATATTTATATAGAAGAATTAGTACTTATTTATATTATTTATAAACATTTTAAAGTAATACTTAAATAAAAAAAAAATACTAACACTATCTTTACTATAAATTTGTTGTATTTATTTTTATTATTTTGACAATTTAAATTATTTAATAAGTTCTAAAATAGAATATTATAATTTATAATAGATATAACTAAAGCCAATTTGTAAGTTCTGTATAATTATCACTACTAAGAATATGCAGTTTCAAAAAAGTACAAAATTTAGACAACTCATTTAATAGAATTATCAGTTTTTTTTTGAATAATTGAGAATATTTTTGAGGTTAGGAAATATTTAGTGTATTAAGTAAATTGTAAGGGTTATTTTCCAATATGCAACTTGCATCATTTAGTGTTTTAGCATAGATAAAACTAATAATTAAAGGTAATCTACAAAATTAATCATAAGTTAGCTATATTGAAGCGAGAGTTTACTATTAGTATACAAATAGTTTAGATAGTTTAATGTCGTTAGTTGTGTATAGAACTATATAGTAGATTATAATTTATAGATAACTTTTTAAAATACTTATAAAAAATTTTTATAGCACTTTTAGATAGAAGAATCCAATTAAACACTTAAAACATTATGGCCTGTTATATTTTGCAATACATACCACAAATATAGTAGTAAGGTAAAAGTAAAACTCTATCAAAGAAATGACCAAGAAAAAGTACGAGAAATTTTGAAATGTAAAAAAAGGTTACCAAACTAAGCTAATAATATGAATAGAAAATTCATTTTTTACTTAAATAGACACAAATGGTTGAAAAATAGTGAATTGAGTTTCAGTAAAATCATGGAAATTGTGTATTTATGGGTCATTGATAATCAACTTGTTCAAACAGTAAAATTTATTGGGAAATCTATAAATAATGTTTGTGACTAGATAAATTTCTGTAGACATTTTTCAATGTCTATTTTAACAAAATGCAACAATTTGTAGGTCCTGGTAAGATAGTTCAAATTGACAAAATATGTTAGTGGTGCATGGAAAAATAATTAAGAACACTTTAGACTTGTTGATTTAAAAGCGGTATTTATACCTAGACAAGAAGAAGACACCAATCGTAATAATAGTTGAAGAATAACTAATAAGTGGACTGCAGATAATTGGATTATGTTGTGTTTTGAAAAAAGATAAATTTGATGCAAGGTTTTTAATTATCAAAAAAAAAGACAAAGAAACATTACATCAATTAATTAAAAATTAAGAATAGAATAACAAGTCTATTTATCTAGCAATCTGGATTTATGGTTTGGTTTATTTTTAGGCATTACTAAATACTACGATTCATTTTGATTCCTGGTATGGATATATTTGCATACCTGAAGAAAGTAAAATAAATAAAATAGTAAATTATTTCAAAAATGTTGTGGACTCAGATTGAAAATGGTTAAAAAAATGTGTAACATGAATGAAGACATAAGAAAAGTACTTATCCAAATATTGGTGGCATGGCTTAAATTAAAGGGGTAATATTTTTGATTTGTTTCTAAGAGATATGAAATTATGTTTTGTGTATAATCCATAACAGCCTTTTTTTTTATTTCTAAAACTACTGTATATCACATTTATTGGTAGAACACATAACCTTTTAGTAAACCGCTAATTATGAGATAACCATTGTAAGAAAAAGTACATATATTTATATTATGTATATATATATATATTATATATACATATATTTTATTTTAAAACTAACTTTTTCCAAAGAATAAAAAAAATTTACAAGATTTTCTAACATTTAAGAGAATATAAAGAGGCTAATTGTATTTTTTTTTTTTTTAGAAAAATTAGCATCATATTTAATCTTTTTAAATCCAATAATTAACTTACAAATTCATACCTATATAACCTACTTACCAGGAATTGTAGAATAAGCTATAAGAAAATCAGCATAAATAGGTATTTTGAAAGTAGAAGAACCATCCACTTGCGTTCTTAACTGAACCCCACCATCCAATCGGTCTCCTTGACAAGCTTGTATAAAAAATAGCTTTGGTTTACTAGCTAATGAAACACATTTGTCACCAGTAAAACGTCCCCAAAGATTATCTTCTGGTTTATAAGCTCCATCTTTAGCGTAAATAATGCCTTGTTCACCATGTGATAGTACTGCCATTAAGAAGCAATCATAATTTGTATAGTCTTCTTTAGCCCCTGTTAAAATAAAGTAAGATGTTATAAAAATAAATATGAAAAGTAATATCTTGAATAAATAATAAATATATTATATTGTACAATATAAAAAATATTATATATATACGTACAATAATCAAGTTTTTTATCCAGTTCATCTAATGTTAAATCTACATATGGTGTAACATCAAATCCTAGATTTTTTAAGGATGCTTCTAAATTAATACAATCCAATCCAGTTCCAGCTCTTGATTTAAGATCTCTAATTTGAAAGTTTTCATGATTAAAGATTATAGCTTTTCCACGATACTTATGATGCATATTGTAATACCAAGCATCCTTATCTGTTGAACTAATACCCAAACCTTGACGAGGTGTACTTTTAAATCTATAATTAAACAATTCTAAATTAATACCTATATATTTACAAAGACAATATGTTTAATTTTAAAGCTATTATTAAGTGTATAAGATGATTAATGATAATTATTACTTGTACTAGTTCTCATATATATCACTTAGGTTATATACAAAAGAAAACATAATTGTTTATTTACTTTTTCTGAGTATAACACATTAACTGATAATTTAGGGGTTTAAATATTGTTTTACTATATTGAATAAACAAAATTTTAAATTTTTCAGATATTATCTATAATAATTATTTTTTTGAATAAAATGTAATAATAATACAATATTAATTTGTATGGTATGCATAGTTAATAAAATGGCTTACCCAAAGCAGCTGCCTACCAAATTTTTGAAACATTTCCGACTCCTAAATTATAAGCAAGAAAATAATAAAATATAATATGATACAATACAATTTACTAATATTAGTATTAAAAAATGAATGAGATATAAAGATAAAATAAATATTAGTTAAAAGCCCAGTCAACAAAATACATATACTAGGTACTGATATGTCAAATACAACATTCAAGTATCAAGGAAAAGTACTTACTTCCTTGTTTAAAATATTTTGTATTACCTAAGAGTTAAATATGAGAGATTCTAAATTTGGTATGATAAAAATAGCAGTTTCTGTAAGATCATTCCTAATGATTCTTGCCATATTTGGTATAATACTTGGTATATAAATATGTGTACTTGTGATATAATTTAATACCCGTAGATTAGTAGCAAGAAATTTACTGGAATTAAATTGCAAATGTTAATTAATATAATTGTTATCTTTACCAAATTAATTATTTTCAACTGGAACAAGAGTCCATTATTGCAAATACTTCATTTAACTTAAATATAAAAAAAATGAGGTTCAAAATCAAAGAAACCAAAACCACATACATTTTGGTAAATCATCTTAAAATATTTTAGTTGATACCTAGTAGATAGGTAATATAAAGATGAACTAGTGATCTGGTAAGACAATATAATTTCTTAAAATGAGTAAAAAATATATTTTGAGAAAAAAAAGCCTTAATTAAATAATTGGAAATAGTGACGACTCACAATGAACCAAAAGCGTCAGCAGTGTCACAGCCAGGTTGATGTAATCCGGTCAATCCATCAAATTGTGTTGTCTGTGTGCTACAGTTTGTAGTAACGGCATCGCAGTTGCCATTTTCATATCTGAAAAAATGGAATGGTTGATATGCAGAAAAAAAAATTTTAAAAATTATCTACTCACTGCAAGTGTTCAACGTTTCCGTTTTTTTCCATTGCGAAATCAAAATTTGATAAGTATATAGATACACAATAATGTAGGCAAAATTATAAATGTATATCATCAAATTGAACCGATAAAAAAAAAGACTCGTATTTGTGAAAAATTAATTCACTTGAGCAGTGATTTGGTAGTTAATTCGATACGGAAATAGCGAAAAATCGATGTTAAACTGTAGTTTATTAGTTGGTATAAACACTGTAGAATTTTAGTGTAGTGAATGCTGAGAGTAGTGACTAATAGCGAGTAATGAGCATGGGCACTGCCCATACAAGAAATACAGACTGATAGACTATTAAGACTTTTTGAATGATCGGCAATGATATTATTTGTGATTGCCGATTATCACAATGGTTAATATTTAATTATACCTCTTGGTTTTCACTTGAGACTCGTTAAATGTTAAACGTTAACTGTAAAAATGTTGGCTCGCGAAGTTGGCTTGCGAATCATTGAATGCAGTGAATGCGCAAATCTCCCACCGTTGTTATCGCTATTTAATGTTCAGTGATGTTAGATATTGATTACTAATATTCCCTTTCGTCTACCAAAATTTCCCGTTTTTGATAAAAATTTCCCCACAGCAAAAATGTTTTCTAAGATAGACTAAGATAGAAGTCAATGCAATATTCATAATGCATAGCATAGACCTAATAATAATACTTATAAGTTATTACTTATAGGTTATACTATTATAAGGTCTATGATGTATAATCATTAATCATAATTCATAACATAGTTAAAGACATGCTTTATATGAACGCATAATGTTATTATTATACACCGTTTTCGAAAGATTTAGTGTCTCTTGTAGTCATATTTGTATCAACATAAATATATAATAATCACAGACTTCTATATAATACTGGATAAGGTACGTGTAGGTATTTCGTATAATATAATAACTATAATTGAAAACTATAAAGCCAGAATTGCTGCAGTTGATTAAACGGCCGCCATGTTTTCGGTTGGCAAAACATTACCTATATTCATTATACATAATAATAATAATATTAGGAATAAGTCGGAATAACGTTTTAAATGGTAAATAAAATAATAATAATACAATAAAAATGCTTGAAAAATAATTTGTATTTTAAAAGGAAACAATTAAATATTTAATATCAAAAAATCATTTAATAAGTACCAAAATATATACAATAATATATATTATTTTAAATATAGATATTAACAATAAAATTAAAATTTTTGTTGATTCACAAGTTTTAATTTATAAATTATTAATTAAAAAAAAATGTGCACTACTTAAAGTGCATAAATTAATACATCAAATAGGTATATTGATATATATTTATTTTGTGCTATAAATTAAAATTTTTTTTTTTATTTATTATTAAGTGTTCTTGACATACATGGTCATCACTCATCAGACTTAGGTATTGATAAAATAACGTCGAAAAGTAGGCTTATTGCTGAGCTTGAAATATTTCACGCTTTTTGGATTGTTTAGTTGGCTGAAAAAATTGATTACCTATGAGATTTTAAATGAAGGTTTGAATTGATGGGAGTTTGAAGTTGATGTGAAGTGCTTTGTTTCTAATGAAAGCTCCCTAAGAAACATTTTAGAATTCTGATTTTTTGAAAAGGACCATAAAACGCACAAACTATTGAAAATATTTTTAAATCATCACCGTAAGCCTGCGCAGACTTTAATCGCTGATGCAGCCAATTTTTTTTTTTTACAATCTTCTAAATAAATGTTGAACAGCCAAAATTATTAATTGTATTATACACTGTAGGTAGGCCGTATTATTATAACTACAGTTCGTAATTTTCATTATATAGGTTATAACTTATAGGTGCGTATTAGTTGGAAACTAGCTACAATTATGAACACTATAAATTATCTAATAAATGAATTGGTTAAGACTTAAGATACATTTTATCTACTTATATTAAATAATAAATTGGATCAGTAGACTTGCTGTTGACTTTAACTAGGTAAGCAGTTAGAGTCGTTAGAGAGTAGATATAACTTATATTACTATAACTTTAACTTATTGCTGTTTTTGAAACATGCATATGTGGTGATAATTTATCATTAAAAAGTTTGAAAATTATGAATTTTTTATAGGTGTAACTATTGATTTTATGATAGTCTATAATAATAAAATTAATGATAAAATTATTAAAAATTTGTCCTAGATTTAATATGATAATTTTTTCTTCTGCAGATATCCGCCTCGGTAGCGCAGTAGGCAGCGCGTAAGTCTCATAATCTTAAGGTCGTGAGTTCGATCCTCACCTGGGGCATAATTTTTTTTCTTTTCAAATAATTTTAATTTCTTACCAAATCATTATAATTTATAACTTAAAATAAAAAAATATAATTAATTATAATATTTTAGTTTTGTGAAATTTAGAGTTAGTGCAATAATAATAAAAATTGTAGCATATTTTAATGCTATTTATTGATTTCATTTGTAATTTTATAATATATGATTTAAAAAGTAATAACCAGGGCTAGGATTTGTATGCAATAAAAAATTGTAAAATAATATGCATTTTATTTACCAAAATATGCATTTAAATGTTTATAAGATTTTTTTTATGAAGAAACTTGATCTGAACCATTAGTTTAAACAATTACAATAAACATATAAATATATAATAAATTATTATATTAAAAATAGTTTATAATAAATGGTGATGCGTGGACAGCTGAACGGTCTGTACTGTCTGTACTACATAGGATTGTGTGTAATACACTAATAGGTACCTGACAAATTATATTTTATTTCGAATTTCATATTGACGTTCATACTTTTATTAATTATTGTGTTTATCTTTCTCCGTCAATCTATTCAATCTTTTATCGCATACCTATTGTATTTACCATAGGATTATATTTATAAAAATAAAATCTATGTTTGACATAGGTAAATAAAAACCAAGTTTTATACTTTAATCAGCAAGGCTAGAATTAAATACCAAATATACTATAAAACATGCATTTTCGAATTATTTAATCGAAATTTGCAATAATATTCATTTTATTCAGTATATACAATAATATGCATTTTATCCAAAATATGCAAAACCATGCAAAATAAAAACACCACTATCTATCTCATCATGAGTCGTGGACATTACTGACAAAATCAATAAATAGAAGTCACAAAAAAAACATAATGTTGCATATACTAAATTCTAGCCTTGGTAATAACCTTAGAAACTTGAAAAATTCCATTATACAAAATATAATTTATCATTTTTTATACTTTAAAAGTTTGAAAATATAATATAGAATCTTACAAAAAATATTTTTTTTGCAATTTAAGAATTGTTAAAATCCTAAAATTTGCAAATTAATTTTTAATTAAAAATTCCTAAAAATATTTGTCATTAAGTGATTTTTTTATTTTGTTGTAATTCAGGAATGAATCTTATGAATCACTGTAAATACTTGAAACTTTCAAAAACTGTTTAATTTAGCATTTTCTATATACCTATTTCATTATATTTTGAATATTTTAAAGATATTTTTAGCCATAAACTTTTTTTATACAAATGTTGATGAATTTTTTTGCTTGGTCAGAAAATTTGAAAAACTTAAAAAATTAATACAAGGTTTCTCACAAGTTATTAATGATGTTATTACAAATAATCTAAAGAATGTAAGAATCTAATTTTTATGAAATGCAATTACTTCAAAATTGAATGAAATTAAATTTAATATATAAACAAAGAATAATGATTTTAGTTCTTTTGTTGTAATTTAAAAATATTATTTATGCGTATTTGAAACTTGAAAGTTAAGACTTATAACAGGTATATTTAATATTATGTTTTATACACACAACAAAATTTTCAAAATATTTATATTAATTGTGTATTTGTGTATATTATTGCTTATTATCTATGTAAGTAATAAATTATACCAAAAACCTATTTTATTTTTCCAGACTTTCCGGTTACTTTAAAAAATACTGGGAATTTTTTTTGGGTAATTGTAAAAATTAAATTAAAATAATTATCTTTAAATTAAATAGCTCAAAAAAATTTTGAAAAGTATATAATATCATGTAGAAAATTATAGTATCTACCTATTAACATTCTTCAAAAATATGAGATTCCTGGGGTTATTCGTTTTTATTACAAAATATTGAAATCATTAATCAATACAGCCAAAAACCAACTTACCGTAAAAATTCCAATTTTCTCTTATTTTTTCTAAATTATCAAAATAGAATTCACATTTTTCGATTTTGATTTCTCCAAAGAACAAATTAGATTCAATTTTCTATTCGAAACTCCTCAAAGTTGAAAATAAAAACAGTTTTCAACTACTAATCATATGTATTATGTACTTATACAAAATAAGCACATATTATTGTAAAATCAATACATTTTCCACTCATGACTCAGCTATACGTATGCAAATATTTTGATTTTTACATAAAATTCTTTTCTTACTAATAGTATATTACAAAAATTAATAGGTTAGAAAAATAAATAGTTCACGCATAATGTCAAGCCTCGGTAGCGCAGTAGGCAGCGCGTAAGTCTCATAATCTTAAGGTCGTGAGTTCGATCCTCACCTGGGGCATAATTTTTTTTATTCATATTGTACTTTTTTTATATAATTATTAGTTTACACTTTATTACTTCTCCCAAAGGATTTTGGAATAGATGTACAATGTCTTTTACATTTATTTTCTTGTGGAATTCAAAAATACTAAATGAACATATATTATAGCACATGATTTTTTTTTTTTTAAGTATTTTAATCAAATATAACCATTTTATTGTTATTGCAATTTTAATGTTGTTTCTTGTATATTTAATATACTATAAATTATAATATAAAATACATTTTAATATTATACTATCTATAATGCTTCTGTATATTTTTATTCTTTGAAAATTATAAATTATATCGTGAGTATTTTCATAGAGTTTAATTTACTAATAAATAATAATATTATATTATTTAATATGTGTGCAAGTAGTGAGTACACATCGTAGTATATTACTATGGGGATGTCGATATCGTACTTATTATACACAGGAAATGGATCTACTTACTCAAAAAACTTTTTAAATATTATTTAAAATTAAAAAATATCATAATTAGACTATACGAATATGTATTTCTATAGGTATACTTATAATATGTTACAAAATATTTAAGTATTTATTTTTAACTATTTTTTACAAATAATAAAAAATAAAAATGTTACATATATGTAGTCGATTCGAAGTATACATTTGAACATTTACAATTTATTATTTTCGGAATAATAAATAATATTGACCAATCGTAATTAATTTATCGATATCAATTGCGTGAATCACTAAGTCACTGAAGGGGAGTGATTACTTGACATTTTAGTCTGATTTTCATTCAAAATGTACTTCAACACGATCACGTGGCAATTATTAGCTAAAAAAATATTATTATGATTTATAAAATTACAAAATTTATGCCGGTATCATGATGATTTAGGGA